TGGTTTCCGCAAGTGCCGCAGCACGACAGATGTCCTGGTGAACCTGGAGGTCTATATTCGTACTGCTTTTGCTGCGAAGACCTCCGTTGTTGCCGTCCTTTTTTACCTGGAAAAGGCTTACGACACCACTTGGCGTTATCATATCCTATCTCAACTTCATTCTTTTGGCCTTCGTGGTCATCTCCCTCTCTTTCTCCGCGGCTTCCTCTCTCGTCGTTCCTTTCGGGTGCGCCTTGGTACCGCTCTCTCTCCCTCTTTTCAGCAATACGAAGGTGTGCCCCAGGGTAGTGTTCTGAGCACTACTTTTTCTGGTTGCCCTCAATGGTCTTCTTTCCTCTCTTCCTTCTGGTGTCTTCTCCGCTCTCTGTCGATGATCTTACTCTTTGTTGTCAGGGTGATGATTCGCCTCTCCTTCAACGCCGGCTTCAACTTGCAATTGATGCCGTGTCGTCTTGGGCCACTGATCATGGCTTAAAGTTCTCTACTTCTAAGACTTGTGCCATGACTTTTACGCGGAAACGGGTTGTTCTTCGTCCCTCTTTGTCACTTTATGGTCATCCCATTGAATACAAAGATTCCGCAAAGCTTTTGGGGTTATTCCTTGACACTCGTTTGTCTTGGTCTCCCCATATCTCTTACCTCCGTGTTGAGTGCTCTAAGTCCCTTACCCTCCTTCGGGTCTTGTCCCATACTTCTTTGGGGGCAGATAGGCGCACTCTCCTTGCTTTACTTTCCTCTCTCGCCCTGTCTAAGCTCGATTATGGTTGCCCTGCTTACTCGTCTGCTTCTCCTTCTACTCTTCGCCGTCTTGATGCTTTGCACCATACTCGGTTGCGCCTCAGTTCTGGTGCCTTTCGTTCGACTCCCGTCCTTAGCTTGTATGTTGACACTGGCTTCCTGTCTCTCCAGGACCGCCGTGATCGCTACTGTCTTCGCTATCTTGCGCGGTACCCTTGCAACATCCTTCCTCTCGCCTCTGTCGTGCTTTAACTTTTACCCCTCCTGCGGTTCCTGTTCCTCTTCACCACCTCCCTCTTTCTGTCCGGTTATCTCGCCTGCAGGATTCTCTCTCCGTTCGTATTTCTGATGTTTCTCCTCGTGTTCCTTCTTTGCCCCCGTGGAGGGTCCCTCTTCCGCGGTTTTGTACATCCTTGACCCGTATCACTAAAGCTTTTACCCCTCCTACGGTTCTAAAACGCCTTTTCCTCGAGCACTTTTCTTACTCCCGCTCCGTTTCTGTCTTCACCGATGGGTCTAAGTCAGCGGACGGTGTTGGCTACTGTTGTTTTTCCTGATCGCACTTATGTGTCGCTTGCCTCCGGAGACTAGCATCTTTACAGCGGAACTTTATGCTATTCTCTATGCTCTTCGTCTCCTACTTTCTCGTTGTCAGTCTTCCTTTGTAGTTGTTGTTGACTCTCGTAGTGCCCTCATGGCTCTCGGGTCCTTTAATCCGGTTCATCCAGTGGTTGTCGAGATCCAGCATTGGCTGTTTCTCGTTCACAGTAAATTTAAGTCGGTTGAGTTTTGTTGGGTTCCCAGCCATATTGGTGTCTTTAAATGAGCGTGCGGATGCTGCCGCCAAGGAAGCTGTCCGCTCTTGTCCCATCTCTCGTAAGGGCATTCCGTATTCTAACTTTTACCCGGTTATCCATTCCTCAGTCCTTACCCGTTGGCAGGCTTCTTGGTAGTCCGTTACTGGTAACAAGCTACGTACTCTTAAATGTTGTTTCCTCGTGGCAGTCCTCCTTCCACCGTAACCGGCGGTGGGAAACAGCTCTGGCGAGGTTGCGTATTGGCCATACTCGCTTAACCCATGGTCACTTGATGGAGCACCGCCCTGCTCCTTATTGTCCTAGTTGCATTGTCCCTCTTACGGTCGTGCATGTCCTTCTTGAATGTCCTGACTTCCAGGACGAGCGTGTGTCTTGCTTTCCGACCGCCCCTCGCGGTCACCTGTCCCTCGATAGAATTCTTGGTGACTCGGATACTTTTGGTATCGTTCGCCTTATGCGTTTTTGTTCTCGTATTGGCATCCTTGGTGATATTTAGCGCCTTCTGATTAGTTTGCGTATATGATGGTGCTACATAGCCTTCCCGGTTTGGTGCCTTCTTTTGATAATTACTTATCAAGGCTTCGTTTTGCAATTTTTCAAGCCCTCCAAGCTTTCTCTAGCACCTAGACTGGGCAAAGTATTAGCTGCGGACAGTGAGACACTTGGGGACCGGCGCTGCACCCCCCTTCCCACATGCAGTGGGGAGAAAAGGGGACAACTGTGCAAAGCATGACGGGGGTACAAAGACAGCCGCTTGCAAAGGGGAGGTGGGTGGGGTTTGCGAGGGCAGCGGCGGGGGCAGGCGGAGTGAGGGCAGAGCCCCACTGAGCCCCCGTATTTATATGGCCCCAAACTGCCCGCGCAACGCCGCGGGACGCGCTGCGCAAATGTTTTTCTCCCCCATCAGAAACATCCCCGCTTTGCGAAGCAGTGGCCATAACTTGGTGAAAGGGTGGTTATTATATTGGTTTTAAATTTTATAATTACTTTATTATAGCAAATGTTTGTATTTGAAGGTAGTTAAAATCTAATTTATATATTACCTGTTGGTAATATAGTCGCCAACATCAAATTTAAAGTATACAAGGCATTATAGTAAGTCTTTACCAAAGTTCATGTATATTAGGATAGCTAATGTACCGGTGTACATAAGCTAAAAGTTGAAAAAATAACGTAATAGAACTCAATTGTATAGATTATCATTGCCCATACTGTAGATATTAGTGATAAGTTTTCTACTAAATGATCAGGTCCATCTCCCTTTCTGGCTGTCGTTGTCGTGACGTAGAGTAGGGGGGGGGGGGGTAAACGCACAACTGTCAGATTAGTTTCACTTCACATCTGCAAGGTGACAGTTTCATAATTTCACATTCAATATTCTTGTAATATCGACACATTGGTTTTTAAAAAACAAACCTCACTTTTGATAGTATCACCTTTTGATAGTAAGACCCTTCAGCCACCTATCATTCTTGCTGGTGCCAGGTGCCCTGTTGAAGAGTACATCCCCCCCCCCCCCTCTCTCTCATTGTAATAAGTGAGGCAAGTTCGAGCACGGTGCCCTCAAATGCACGTCTTCGTTTCTCTCTGCCCCATGTGTGGGAACGATAGCCACTCTAAGACAGATTGCTCATATCCCCCGGGCTCGCTACCTGAATTGCGGCGAGGCCCACCCTACATTCTCTCGCACGTGTATCGACTCAAAGCTTGAAGTAGTCCTTAACTTGAAACACCAGGATCATTTGACTTTTCCCGAGGCAAGACACGGTTTGCAGTGTCCACCCCTTCACTGGCGTATCTAATGCTCGCACGTTGTTCTACCTCTCGTCCTTCCCACCTTTGTCCCACAACCATTTCTAGGCCTTGGACCCCAACATGCCCACCACCTTCCCTGTTCCTTTACGTCCTGGGTCGGAAGGTATCTCTCGTGAATCTCCTTCTGGATTCCCACCCCCCCCCCTTTTCCTACCCTGTCTGCCAAGTCATTTCGTTTTCCCCTATCTTTCATGTCCCTCCCCACTACCTCTTGGCCCTCCACGTCGCCTGTCTGTCCAGGCTGATGTCCATCATCCTCCCAGCAATCTTGATGTTGTTCACTCCCATTCTTCACTTAAGACCCTAGTCAGTCGGCCAGTACGATGTTACTGGAACACCTGTCCGTCAGAAACGTAAGGCTGGCTCCTCTCCATCCTCCTCCCCCTGCGGGTAAGAAAAGAGACGGCATTCCTTTCTTCCTCGCCCCCTAACTATTGCTTACTCCCCATTTTTATTGGTTGGGGCCCCCTATCCCTAATGTGGAAGTTTCTTTTGGCCCAATTCCCTCTTGGTTGCTGACCTAGAGTTTCTACCCCCTATCCTCCTGGCCTTGACAGCCCCATCCCCCCCTCCCTCCCTGAACCCTGTCAATCTGCCTCTGGTGTCTTGCTCTTTTTTTTCCCTCCATTCTTACCAAGTTAACCCATGGCCCGCTAAACCTTAGTCTGATCTTTAGCTTTTTTAATATGCTGTGTTATTTACCTGTGTTTCTTTGTTCTGTTGCTGTCCTTTTATTTTTTTGATAATGTCATTTCTTCAATGGAATGTTCATGGGTTTTATGCTAACTCCCATGAACTCCAACTTCTGTTTAGGTTTCACCACTTTGTCTCTGGGAGCCGATGCTTGGTGCTCGTCGTGATAACTGTCGTGGTTATTCCTTTCTTCCCCTTCCCCCTTCTCTTCCCCCCCCTCTCTTGATCTTGCTGGGGCCCGTAACTATATTGGTCTCTTGATTCGTACTGATAATCCCTTTGTCCTACTGTTTCCATGTCCTATCCATTATTTTGCTGGCCATGTTTTTGAGTAAAATGTAGTCTGTTAAATGTTTCCCCCAAATGTCCCTCTTTCCCTTCCTGATGTCAGGAACCTCCTGGACTCCTTAACAAAGCTGGTGTTCCTGTTGGGTTATTTAAACTGTCGACATACCCTTTGGGGTGATGTTGACACACCCGAGGCGGCCTTCTCGAACCATTCGTTCTCTTCCCTGAATTCTGGTGAGCCCACCCCATGTGGACTGTAACTCTCACTTTCCTGTCTTGATCTTTCTCTGATAGTCTCTGTACTTGGATATCTCGTGGAGGGTTCATAACCTCCATAAGTGACCATTTAACAATCCTTGTTTTCCCTTGTCTTTTCACCCTCCCCTCTCCTTCCCTAGGTGGCAGTTTGGCAAAGCTGATTAGAACCTATTCACCCTCCGTGCTACTGTGACCTCTCCTTACTACCTCTTCCTTGCACCCTCCTCGTTTTCATTAGTCTTCGATGCTACCCTCTATTCCTTGCTCTACCTCCCAGGGCACACGGAAGTGCGTTCCCTGAACTGCGGATTGCTAGGGTTGTCGGCTGTAAGTGTGCAGCCTGGAAAAGACTGACGCTGGCAGATGGCTGATTCTTATATTTTGTTTCAGAAAGTGCAGTGGGCTGTTGGACCACCTGGACAGCGAGGCGCGAGAGTTGGAAGTGTTTCCACCATTACGTCAGATACTCCTCTGCCGCAGATTTGGAAGATTTGCAATATTGTGGGTAAGCTCATTCCCTATGACTAGCAGGTTCTTCACCTCTGTGGTACTCTGGTGGTGGAGCCAGTGCAGGTCACAACCGAACTGGGTTGTCACTTGTTAGCTGTGCTAACAAGTGACTGGTGTTAGCTAATCTTCAATTTTTCCTTAAACACGTTCTTGAATCTTGTGCCTTAAACTTCCACACTCGGTGGTACTACATAGCCTTCCCGGTTTGGTGGGTTTTATAAATTTTTACTAAATGAGGTTTAAGTTCTTTAAAAGTGGCAACAAATGGCAAATACATTTAGATCTGTGTACAGTTTGCTTATCTATTTAAAATTAAATCCCATTTGATCCGCAAGCAAGAGTGATTTGGCATGAATCCTGGGCGAGTAACTGTATCATCTGTTTAACGGTGTAAAATTGGTACCTAGTTAAATTTTTAGTGTTCTGGGGTAACATGGAATAAAGTTATTGGCCTAAATGGTACGCATGCTTGTGGCTGTACAAGAATGAAAGATCTGTCGTATTGTTTTTTTTGACATAAATAGCAAGAACTCTCGAGTTTGCTTGGCATGTTTCAAATACATGTTACCAAAGATATATGGAGGAGGGGAATCGTAAACTATAAATTTGAAATACAAATTTTGTAGCATATAAACCTTAAATGTGGACTTCAAAGTGCTTTATCTTCTAATTTATAAATTAGATATGGTGGGGGGGGGGGAAGTAGATAATTCGTTAGTGTAACTTTAAAATGACAAATATTTTAAAGTTAAACAAAATGAAATTGCTATGCAAAACCTTATTAACCATATTTAATGTTCCATTGACAGGTTGTAGAAGGTCCTTCCAAGATAACTTCAGGAACAGTTGCAGAACAATCGCTGGAAGTGTTAAATGCTACAGAAAGTAGCATAGTTGTCAGAATTAGAGGGCCAAAGTTTATTTAGTTTAATAGGTAAAATGTGTTTACATAATTTTTACCTAAATATTTAATGAAATTGTGAAGGGGCCTTGAAATTCGGTAAATTGAAACTTTTTAAGGCCTTGACTAGTGGGTACTATATCCTAAAGTTAATTCTTGCAAGAATTGTGCTTTGAATAGAATAAATTGGACTTTAAATTTGTGAATGTAAAGTTGGGAACTAACTGTTAAACGGCATAAATTTGCAAGTTAAAGATTTTATGAAATGTTTTATATAAATCTTAATTTGTTTGCTTAACTTCTGGTGTTAAGTTGGTTGCATGGTTCTTAATTATTTGGCTAGAAGTCATTCATTTATAAATTACACAAATCACAATGATATTTGCAATGCACAAGGGCTGTGATGAGGGGTTCAAACTTATGTCAGAGGATCCCAGATGTGCTTTAAGACTGTGCCACAACATGGTAAAAGAATCCCAACTGGGAGGTCTACTGACATCATGGATTTAATCTACGTTTGTAGCTTAAAAGGCTATGTTCATAAATTAAAGAATCATTTACTGATGGTATAGTACACAAATTAAATATTGAATGGTAACTGTACTTCAACTTAGTTTATTTATTTGAAGCTTAAATAGATAGTCTTTCAGAATATTGATGGGAAAGTCTAACTTCAGCCCTGAGTTTGAAGGTGTTAATTGCTTGACATTCTGAATAGGTGAGTGTGATAGTGAACATTATAACTTAAACAATCACTCATTATGGCTGAAGATAATCTGAAATGATGCTTACATGTAGATAAAATAAATTGCCGAGAGATATTGGTGACTTTAATGAACTTATGGTTAGTCAAACTAAGTTTAATGTTTTTGCTTGATTAGCATTAAAGGAGAATTCTAACAATCGTAATTGTAAGATTAAAGGAACCTGCATATGTAAAATTTTGTTTAACAAGCTAATTTGGGTAAATGTTTCAGGTGGTATGGAAGATTACAATGTCATCAAAGCATTGACTGGCTTCAGTGTGGTTGTTCTACTCTGCAAATCTACGAAAGTTGGTATGTGGAATTAAGTGTTTTAGCTATGTCAATTAATTTACTTTCTTTCATCTAGTCCATTTATAGATGTGTACCAAAGTCCTACTGTTACAACCTGCAGGGATTGATGCAGTTTGTACTGATCCTACCCCATTTCATAGAAGGGGACCAGGCAGTCCTGCAGATTTCCCTGGCTTTTTCAGAGCCCTGCTCTACTACCCATCCAATAGATGGACTAGAATTGCATAGGTGTAGGGACCCTTAACAATGTGCAAACATTGTTAATCACTACAGGGCTTGTTCACTGAAAGAGTGGATACATCCAGAGGTTTAGTGCCTGGAACATGATGTACATAAGCTTTACACAGCTTATTTACATCATGTTGGGCACTAAACCAAAAGATGTGATGCATTCTTTTGGCCAACAAGTCCTGCCTCAAATGGAAGTAAGGGGTAGGCTTTGCTGAGCCAAATTTTAAAAGATTGGCACTTAGGGGTTTTGGTGCTTATAGATAGGTGTTAGTGTTAATAAAATGAGTGTCCCTGTTTGATAGTTTATTTTTGCTTTACAGGTGGATGTTGTCCTTGGTACTCTGGGGTTTTCTCTGGCATTTTGATGGTCTTTGAGTCTTCAGTGGATTGAATCTAGGAGCAGCAGCTTCCCACAACCTGAAATAGACAATAGTCAATGTTACACTGTAAACTATTAAATAAATATTCCAATGAAACTTTATACTGTACTTTATCCTGAAATTAGCAAAGATTCTATCATGCTGGAAATTACTGATGCAAAGAACTTGTGAAATTTATAAATAAGTTACTAAAGTGAAAAATTAATTGACATCACTAACTTCAGAGTTTCCTGCAAGTAATATGCCAAACTGGATTAAGCTGATAAATCTAAACTAACATTACTAATTTGCAAAGTATCTTAATTTTACACTTGACTAAAATTAAACTTTACAATTGTATAGACTACATTTAAGGCTAAGCAACATCTAAACATTGATGGAAGTGTTGTAAAAAAAAAATACGTTGACTTAAATGTCAAACTAAAACATCTATACAATATGGTTTTTCACCAATACCTTACTAAATGCCAGACCTGGAACACTGTGGTTCCAGTAATCAGAAGTTAATTATAATGGGCTAGATATTAAAACTTGATTGGAAAGTATGAAACTACCTTTTGTCAAAAGTAAAATCCAACTCAAAGTTGTAGTATAAGAAAAACAATATTAGACATGACCAGTCTGCCTTATTATTTCCTGGACTTTGATATGTCCTACCAAATATTGTGAATGAAAATTTCATTATTCACACCAGACATCCCATAACCACAAATGTTTCAAGCTGATGAATAGAAGTAATTAAGGATAGTAGTGTATTATACACTACCTGTAAAAAGTACCATAAACTGGAAGAGCCTTACAAACTAAAATTTATAATTACCACATGCCTAGAATTTAATCCAAACTTAAATGAACTCTCAGCCAAAATTACTAAAGTTAAAAGATGTTCATAACAAGTTTATATCTAGATTTCAAATGTTACTCAAATCTTCGAAATAACCAAGCACAAAACTGTCAGATTAGTTTCACCTCGCATCTGCGAGGTGACAATCATTCAATGATCTTGTAATAACACATTGGTTTGTTAAAAACAAACCTGGTCACTTTTTTGTGGAAATGGTAACCAGCTATTCAAACAAGACTTCTGGTACACATGTCACTTGCTTGCTAAAGCACCATATGAAAGAATAGGAGGGGAAAAACAGGCACAGAATCAATGGTAACAGTCAAATTAAAGCGTCCTAAACAGAAATGACTGGAAAATTTTGCGAGATTCATACCACAAGGGTCGAAACCTTACAAATCGATGACATCAAACACCAAGATTTATAGACTAAAAAAAAAAACAATGATATCGAGGCCTTACAAAGATCTACATGAACTCCAAAAATGGTTACAAGACTGACAAATTCTTCTTAATATACAAATAACATTGTTCTGGCTCACATGCAAGGTTTTACAATCCATATCACAACTACCACATTAACATTACAACGAAATAGAACGATGAAATAAGGACCTTCGAGTATGAATCCATCATTCACCAAAAGTTGATGCAGTGTAATGCAGTGATGCAGTAATTATCAAAAGAAGGCACCAAACCGAGAAGGCTACATAGCACCCTCAAACTGCGAAATAATCAGAGGGCGCTAAATATCACCAAGAATGCCAATATGAGAACAGAACGCATAAGGTGAACGAGAACAGAACGCATAAGGCGAACGAGAACAGAACGCATAAGGCGAACGATATCAAAAGTATCCGATTCACCAACAATTCTATTGAGGGACAGGTGACCGCAAAGGGCGGTCGGAAAGCAAGACACACGCTCGTCCTGGAAGTCAGGACATTCAAGAAGGACATGCACGACCGCAAGAGGGACAATGCAACTAGGACAATAAGGAGCAGGGCGGCGCTCCATCAAGTGACCATGGGTTAAGCGAGTATGGCCAATACGCAACCTCGCCAGAGCTGTTTCCCACCACCGGTTACGGTGGAAGGAGGATGGCCACAAGGAAACACAACATTTAAGAGTACGTAGCTTGTTACCAGTAACAGACAACCAAGAAGCCTGCCAACGGGTAAGGACTGAGGAATGGATAACCGGGTAAAAGTCGGAATACGGAATGCCTTTACGAGAGATGGGACAAGAGTGGACAGCTTCCTTGGCGGCAGCATCCGCACGCTCATTTAAAGACACACCAATATGGCTGGGAACCCAACAAAACTCAACCGACTTAAATTTACTGTGAACAAGAAACAGCCAATGCTGGATCTCGACAACTACTGGATGAACCGGATTAAAGGACCCGAGAGCCATGAGGGTACTACGAGAGTCAACAACAACTACAAAGGAAGACTGACAACGAGAAAGCAGGAGACGAAAAGCATAGAGAATAGCATAAAGCTCTGCTGTAAAGATGCTAGTCTCCGGAGGTAAGCGACACATATAAGTGCGATCAGGAAAAACAACAGAGTAGCCAACACCGTCCGCAGACTTAGACCCATCAGTGAAGACAGAAACGGAGCAGGAGTGAGAAGAAAAGTGCTCGAGGAAAAGGCGTTTTAGAACCGTAGGAGGGGTAAAAGCTTTAGTGATACGGGTCAAGGATGTACAAAACCGCAGAAGAGGGACTCTCCATGGGGGCAAAGAAGGAACAACACGAGGAGAAACATTAGAAATACGAACGGAAAGAGAATCCTGGAGGCGAGATAACCGGACAGAAAGAGGGAGATGGTGAAGAGGAACAGGAACCGCAGGAGGGGTAAAAGTTAAAGCACGACAGAGGCGAGAGGATGTTGTAAGGACCGCGCAAGATAGCGAAGACAGTAGCGATCACGGCGGTCCTGGAGAGACAGGAAGCCAGTGTCAACATACAAGGTAAGGACGGGAGTCGAACGAAAGGCACCAGAACTGAGGCGCAACCCAGTATGGTGCAAAGCATCAAGACGGCGAAGAGTAGAAGGAGAAGCAGACAAGTAAGCAGGGCAACCATAATCGAGCTTAGACAGGACGAGAGAGGAATGTAAAGCAAGGAGAGTGCGCCTATCTGCCCCCCCCCCCCAAGAAGTATGGGACAAGACCCGAAGGAGGGTAAGGGCCTTAGAGCACTCAACACGGAGGTAAGAGATATGGGGAGACAAAGACAAACGAGTGTCAAGGAATAACCCCAAAAGCTTCGCGGAATCTTTGTATTCAAGGGGATGACCATAAAGTGACAAAGAGGGACGAAGAACGACCTGTTTCCGCGTAAAAGTCATGGCACAAGTCTTAGAAGTAGAAAACTTGAAGCCATGATCGGTGGCCCAACACGACACGGCATCAATTGCAAGTTGAAGCCGGCGCTGAAGGAGAGGCGAATCATCACCCTGACAGCAAAGGGTAAGATCATCGACATACAGGGCGGAGAAGACACCAGAAGGAAGAAAGGAAAGAAGACCATTGAGGGCAACCAGAAAAAGAGTTGTGCTCAGAACACTACCCTGGGGCACACCTTCGTATTGCTGGAAAGAGGCAGAGAGAGCGGTACCAAGGCGCACCCGAAAGGAACGATGAGAGAGGAAGCTGCGGAGAAAGAGAGGGAGATGACCACGAAGGCCAAAAGAATGAAGTTGAGATAGGATATGATAACGCCAAGTGGTGTCGTAAGCCTTTTCCAGGTCAAAAAGGACGGCAACAACGGAGGTCTTTGCAGCAAAAGCAGTACGAATATAGACCTCCAAGTTCACCAGGACATCTGTCGTGCTGCGGCACTTGCGGAAACCAAATTGAGAAGGGGAGAGGAGGTGATGGTGTTCCAGGAACCACATCAGACGAACGTTAACCATACGTTCAAAGAGTTTGCAGACACAACTTGTGAGAGCAATAGGACGAAAGTCCTTAGGGGAAGTACCCAGAGACCCTGGTTTGCGAAAAGGGAGGACAACGGCATCGAGCCAGTCCTCAGGGACTGACGACGACTCCCAGATCCGATTATACAGACTCATTAAATACTGAGACGTGCACGGAGGGAGATGGCGAAGCATCTCATAATGAATACCACCGGAGCCCGCCGCCGTAGAACCGCAGAGGGCCAGGGCAGAACGAAGTTCAGAGAGAGAGAAGGGATCATTATAGGGAAGCTGAAGATGAGTGCAGAAATCTAAAGGACGAGACTCAAGGACAGGTTTACGAAGAAGGAAAGATTGGGGAAGATGAAGACCAGAGCTAACAGAAGAAAAGTGGGAACCCAGTTCGGAAGCGACCTGCAACGCGTCCGCCACAAGAGTATCATGGAGGTGAAGGACCGGTGAAACATCGGGAACGAACTTACCCGCTATCTTGCGGATACGCTTCCAGATCTGCGTCAGAGGGGTTTCGGACGTAATTGTTGAGACATAAGATGCCCAACATTCACGTTTAGCAGTACGGATGGCCCTACGGGCCACCGCACTCGCTTTCCGAAAGTAAAGAAAAGAATCGGTCGTCTGCCTACGGCGGTGCCTCTTCCAGGCTGCACGCTTACAGCGGACAGCCCGAGTACAGTCCGCATTCCACCAGGGAACGCACTTCCGTGGACCCCGAGAGGAAGAGCGAGGAATAGAGTGGAGGGCAGCGTTGAAGACAGTGTCATGAAAAAGGAGGAGAGCGCGAGAGAGAGGCAGAAGGGAGAGGTCAGAGAGAGCAGCACTGAGGGTAAATAGGGTCCAGTCCGCCTTAGCAAACTGCCACCTAGGGAAAGAGAGGGAAGGGCGAAAAGAGAAAAAGGAAACAAGGATGAGGAAATGATCACTTCCATGGAGGTCATCAAGAACCTGCCACGTGAAATCTAAGTAAAGAGAAGAAGAGCAGAGAGAAAGATCAAGACAAGAAAGGGTGCGAGTCCGAGAGTCCAAATTTGTGGGCTCACCAGAATTCAGAAGAGACAGGGAAGAAGAGAGGAGAAACGGCTCAAGAAGGCGACCCTGGGTATTCGTCAGAACGTCACCCCAAAGAGAATGACGACAATTGAAGTCACCCAGCAGGAGCACAGGCTCCGGCAAGGAGTCTAGGAGGTGTTTCAAATCAGGAAGAGAGAGCGGGACACTCGGGGGGAGATAAATGGAACAAACTGTGTACCATTTCCCCACAAAGATACGAGCAGCAGAACAATGGAGAGGCGAAGGAAAAAGTAAAGGAACAAAGGAAACATCAGCACGAATTAAAAGAACAGAAGAATTAGAAGCCCCAGCAACAGCTGGGGGGGGGGAGAGAAAGGAATAGCCACGAAAACGACCAGGACGAGCACCAAGCATCGGCTCCTGGAGACAGACACAAAGGGGCGAAAACCGCGAAATCAGAAGTTGGAGTTCGACGAAATTGGCGTAAAAACATCGAACGTTCCATTGAAGAATGGACAACGATGAGAAGAGAAAGGACAAAAACAGAGAACAAGGAAGAAACAAAGGCGAAAGAGCAACAGAGTACGTTAAAGAATATCAGGGTTAGAGGGCATGGGTAAACTGAGCAAAGACGGAGGGAAAGAAACGGGAGAACAGATCAGAGGTGGGCGGGCGGGGTCCGGAGGAGGAAGAGGAGGA